TTGGGGTTCTTTACTATAATTATAGTATAATATACCTGAAACCATATTCTAGTTATTAAGGCCCCTACATTAATCCGTTTGACATTTCCGGTGGCGGCTAGAGAACCTTCGGACCTGCGTACTTTTGCAGTCTCGAGGCATCGAAACGATGTGCAAGCCCCGCCACTTGAAGGTGCTCATGGACCTTACTGGGCTATTGTTGGGCCTCGTAAACCCTAATCCCAAAACCCTGAACCCTAAACCTTACGTCTCCAGTAAGCCAGGGAAGTAGAAGGTTACACTTTCAGATTACGAATAAATTTTATGAGACACAAAAGTTTAAAGGTTGGGTATTGGGGAACTAAGAAACCCTCTCGAACCCTTGTTCGGAAAAAAAAATCTTCTCTACTATACAGAAACCCCGGACTCCTGAAGCCTACGTAAGGGCTCAGGGGACTTGGTAAGCGGTAATGATTGGGGTTACAAGCACCCTCAAGTACCATAAACAAGATCATCTTGATCATTACATAATGCAATCTTAACCAAAAATACCATAACTAACATTATCTTAATCATAACGTGCTCTTCTAACCTTACCTAGTTACCTGAAAGTGATGCTAAGTTCCGTGAGCCTTTGAAGGCTTCGGGCCTGCCTGCTTGGAGGGTCGGGGGACTTAGCAAGTAGTTAATAAGTAGAGTTATAAGTACCCTAAAAGGGATCCGAATTGGGGTTATGGTACTTATAAGTCTATAATTAATAATAACTAGTTACTAAGTCCCCCGAGCCTCCAAGTGAGGCTTATTTAGAGTGGAGGACTTATGCAGGTTTAGGGTTGACGGTTTAGGGTTTAGGGTTCAGGGTTTAGGGTTGAGGGTTTAGGGGTTAGGGTTTAGGGTTTAGGGGTTTAGGCTTTAGGGTTACTACTTTTACGTACCATGGAAGTGGCCCCCCAAAAGCCATAGTCATGTTAAGGACGGTCTTTGCGGCGCTAGTTTCTTTAAACGTACTGCTTGCGGACACAGGCTTGGACACTCTCAGTAGTGATATGGGTACGGCATCTGGCTTCGTAGCTGGTTGCCCCCCGCAGGGCTTTGGCACCCTGCCCTGAAGATAATCAATCCTCAATCTTCAAACCCTAAACCTCTAAACCCTAAACCGTCAAACTCTTGACTTTACATTGCTATGCATGCCGAGTACCTGCATGGCGACAGGCAATCACACCCAGAAACAAAAACCTCAAGGTGCTTAGGGTTTAGATTACTACTAAACTATAAGAACCCAAAAATTTTAAAGGTTGGGTATTGGCGAACTAAGTTCTAAAAGAACCCCAAGCACATGTGACACACACACACACACCGACTACTAGCAGAACAACTACCCTAGAGCCAGAAAGACACCCTAAACCCTTGTGAAACCGTATTACCTAAACCCTAAACCCCAAAACCATTTAAAACCCTAAATCCTGAAAGGAACCACGGGAAACCCTAAAACCCCTAAAAGCCCTAAAAGGGACCACGAGCCTTTTTGTGCAGAGTTCAAAGTCGTGAAGCGCCCAAACCCCGTAGCCCGAAAAGTCTCAAATCCTGCAGCGCAGAAACAGAAAGCCCTGGCTTACTGCTTTTAGGGTTTAGGGCTTTAGGGCTTTTAGGGCTTCAGGGTTATAGGGTTTAGGGTTTCGGGGTTTAGGCTTTTTGGGATTTTAGGGTTTAGAGTTTAGCGTTCAAAGATTAAGGGTTCTTGTGGTCAACGCGACCGCGCCGAGGTGCTGATAGGACATGAGCGTCTTCTTCAGGAAGGACCAACCGGTGTTCCTGCTTTCTGATTTGAGGATTGTGGCATAGGGTTTAGGCCAAAACCCTAAACCCTAAACCCTAAACCCTAAAACCCTAAACCCTAAACCCTAAACTTTAGGGTTTAGGGCTTCGGATTTGCGGTGTAGGGCTGACTTCTGATTGGGGAGCATGGACCATCACGGAGGGGTTCAGAAAACTGATGTTTGGGGCTGAGGGTCATTTTCCTAGTGATGCTGTTGATGATAAAAATCCTGCATTACCTTAAGGACCCTAAACTATGGGAATTATGATATATTCCTTATTAAGGGTAATGCAGGATTTATATCATCAACCGTAGTAAGCAGGGTGTTTAGGGTTTAAGGGTTTAGGGTTGAAGAGTTTAGGGGTTTAGTGTTCAAGGGTTTAGGGGTTCAGGGTTTCGGGCTTTAGGGTTTTAGGGTTTAGGTGTCTAGGAGTAAGCAGGGTTATATTAGGTTTAGGGTTTGGGGCACTCGTAACCCTCACGTCTTGGCTGCTCCCGTCTCCCAATCTCAAAAGACATGCTCGTGCCTTTCTCTGTTCAGATCGCTAAAAGCACTTGCAAGTCCAAAACGCAGACTGAAGTCCTAGTGCTCTAGAATCCGCAAAGGAGCCCTTTATAGAAACTGATCCTTAAACCCTAAATCCTACACCTTTGATTTGATGCGCACCCCATCTCGGACCTAATGACAGAACTGTAGCCCCCAATACCTCACCAAACTTTTTGAGTTCTTATACTCTAATAGCAACCTCCCAGAGAGCCCAATACCCCTTAAATAAGGAATATACCTTAAATCTTAATATTAAGCCCCTTTTTAAACCCTAAACCCTAAACCCTAAACCCTAAACCCTAAACTATATTCCTTAATTAAGGGATATCGGGCTCTCGGGGCTGAAAGTTTAACCTTCGATTTCCCTGGCTTATTCGGGAAGTAAGACAGAACCGCTCGAAGTCCCGCCCTAAGCCCAAAACCCAAAACCCAAAACCCTAAACCCTAAACCCTAAACCCTAAACCCTAAACCCTAAACCCTAAGCCGCTTCATGGGCCTTCTTGGCTCTTCGAAGCGGAGAAATAGCGGAGATGCAACGCCCCAGGGACTTTAAAGACGAAAAGAGCCCTAAAAGGGTGTAAGGTTCATATACAATAATATAGGGATTCATAGTTTTAGGGTATAAGGCCCCTATTTCTAAGGTTCTTTTCGTCCTTAAGGTACCTGCGGTATATGGATGGATACGATACATCCTTCCTTCCTGACTTGGATTATCATTGCCTGCTATTTCGATCGGCCCCTGGCCGAAGGCAAGCTAAAACCAAGGCGGAATACCCGCATCCCTTACCTTCAGGAAGGGGGGAACCGGTAGGATCATATCCTCGGTGTCTTTACATCATATGCCACAAGGGTTCAGGGATGTTGAGGGTTTAGGGTTCGGTGACTCTCTGCAAGAAGCCGAGCGCCCCGACGCGCCTGCGGCGCAACATGGCGCGCGCGCGGACTGGGGCCCAGGAGACGCGCCGAACTGTCATTCTAGGATTCCGGGACCACCAAGGGTCCACGTAAGTTTTCAGTATAAAGTATTTATTTTGAGATTACTGTCAGGACGAAGTCTATACTGCATAAGTACGTGGACCCTTGGGGGACGAGGTCCAGGCCTTGTCGGTTTATTTCGGGTTCGGCGGCGTGATTGGGGGCGTGATTCGGCATGATGTTTTAACGTGGACAGACCCTCTTAGGGTGCTTGCTGCCCAAAACCCAAGCTGCATGCACCTGAGCCTCCCGAAACCCTGCAGCCCTAAACCTCTAGTTGAGACTTGACAAGTCGTAAAGGGTTTAGGGTTTAGGGTTTAGGATTTAAAGTTTGGGGTTTAGGGTTTAGGGTTTAAAGTTTAGGGTTTAGGGCTTAGGGTTTAGAGGCTTAGGACCCTCCTTGTACCCTCAAGTAGGGGAGTGCATAGCCCTGAGCCTTGGGGTCTCGAACAAATTCGAGCGCCTGACCCCTGAACTCGAAACCTGAAACCCTAGGCCCTAGACCCTAAACCCAAGACCCCAAACCCTAGGATTTAGGGTTTAGGGTTTAGGGTTTAGAACCCAAGACCGTACTTTACCTCTAAACGGCCTACCGCTTCAAGGACTTATTTAGATATCAGGGTGGCGGAGCCTTGAACAGGTAGGTTCCGTAGGATCCAGGCTAAAGCCTAAACCCTAAACCGAAGCCCTAGAGCCTAAACCCCTCATTGCAAAGGTCAAGCATGGAAGAGGAGATCGAACGGCAGGCCGCCGAAATCCAAAAGCAGGCGGACCAGACCAGATCGTGGATCTTAAAGAAAAGTGCGAGCACCTTGGCATAGGCTTAGGGTTTAGGGTTTAAGCAGCCTCTGTGTTCCTAACTAATTACCTAGGGTTTAGGGTTTAGGGTTTAGGGTTCCTTAGCGCTCCTGATTATGTTTCGAGTATAATTTTAAACGCTTCGCGTCGTCCGCCTCGGCCCCGCGCAAAGCGACGGGAAGGTCACACAGGTGAGGTCTTAAGTGAATGAGCGCAAATGCTTGAGAATGTTTTTCATGTCAGTACTTGTTTTTATGCTGAAGCTCTGAGCAATTATTCCTCGCGAAAGGTGGCACATTCCCTGCATTATCCCATAGACGTTACTTTAATAACCGTATCCCACTTCTCATTGGTCTCGTATACAACCTCCCCTATGTTGGAAGGGGAATCAAGCTCTGCAATAATTTACAAAACACAGCCCCAGAACTGCCAGGAGCTGGCATCAGCTTCACCAATGATGTCAGCTAGAAAGAGACGATGGAAGTGGGAGGGGGGCGGGGGAGCGGGGCCGGGAGGGTGGGGGGGTTGGGGGCGGCGCGGGCAGAAAACACACCAAACAGTGGTGGGGGGAGGGGGGGGGGGACCGGAAATCTAATTTTAAGTACATCATTGCCGATGCTAAATCCTGGGAATTCTGGGGCTGTGTCTTGTACTTTGTTGCAAAGCGTGATTCCCCTTGTAAGGTATGGGAGGTTGTATATCGTATATGAGACCAGTGAGACGTGTGATACGGTTGTTGTTGTAACGTCTATGGGATAATGCAGGGAATGCGCCACCTTTCGAGCGGGATTATTGCTCAGAGCTTCAGCATGAAAACAAGTACTGACATTAAAAACGTTCTCAAGCAAATGCGCTCATTCACTTAAGACCTCACCTGTGTGACCTACCCGTCGCTTTGCGAAACATTGCACCTGCCAAGGCGCACGACGCGAAGCGTTTGAACTAGATGCAGCCCGACACCCTAAACAACCCGGTCAGGAACGCCATGAGCCTGGCGACACAGGCCATCCCCCCAACCGAATGGGGCTGCCTGACGCCCCAGCAGAAGCTCATGCTGCAGCTCTTGTTGGTGCTCATCTTCTCGCTCGTCGCAGTGCCGGTGCCCTTGCTGATCCCCATCAACGATCCGAGAGAGGGTCCGCTCAACAACATCGCGTTCCTAGGTTCCTGAGTAGTACCCTTTTGCCCTTTATATATTTTGGGGTCTCCTTATTAAAACCGGATACTAGGAAAAAGGGTACCCTTATTAGGACTCAAGAACCTAGGTTTTTCTATGGCTACAATATCATCGTCATTGCCTACTACCTTCCCGGCCACTCGGCGCAACTCGCAGAGGCTTAGACCCGCTGTTGCTTGTGGTCCCGGTGTGCTGTTGGGGTCTACCTAGGTCAATACAGGCGGTTGCAGCTGCTGCTGGAACTCCCCCTGTCAAGAGTGCCGGCGGGGAGACGATGCAGAGGTCCGTGACGGAGTCCAGCGCGATGAACCTTGAAAAGGTCAGCTATGTAGACGAGGTCAAACGGGTTGTTTGCTACGCGTTGATCATCTTCGGGGGGGGCACGGTATACTTCCAGTGTGCGCTTCCCTGGGGTACTGACATGGTCTACTCAGTCTACTCTTACAGCATGCTATATGGGGCTCCTCCCACCTTTGTCACGGTCGACTGGATGTTCCTGGTTCTACTGGGTCAAAGATATTGGAACTCGAAGACCCTGGTGCTCGTCTTCGTGTACAACTTCTTATCACTGGCCCCTGTGCTGGTTTTGTGCGGTCTGGTGTTCACATGCACCTACTTCAACACACCCGCCGCAGAATTCTTCGGTGCTGTGGCGTCATGGGTTGTCATGGAAGCGGTGGGGTATGCCTCAAACAAGGCGCCCCACAGCTTCGTAGTGTCGTGTCGCATGCTGAAGTATATCACCTCATCACCCTAAACTGCCCCTAAACCCTCAACCCTAAACCCTAAAGGCCCTAAACCCTAAAGGCTCTAAACCCTAAACCCTAAAGGCCCTAAACCCTAAACCGTGCAGGTACTGAATACTTTGGTCCCCTGGGCCGGCTACAGCCTTGAGCACTACTACCAGGCCCTTGACGGTGTGAAGCCTGCTCGGCTTTCGGCTTAGGGTTTAGGGTTTATAGGGTTTTAGGGTTTCGGGTTTTAGGGTGTAGGGTTTAGGGTTTAGGGTTTAGGGTTTTAGGGTTTAGGGATCAGGGTTTAGGGTGTAGGGTTTAGGGTTTATCCCGACATCCTAAACCCTGAACCCGAAATCCTTGTCGAAAGGTCGGCAACGCCTTGGTATTCTCCTCCGTGCTGACATTCTCTGAGGCGCCTGGTTTAGGGTTTAGGGCTTCGGGTTGGGGGATTATATAGGGGTTAGTGGAGATCACGACCATTTCTGGCGTCAGAAACTCAGGTGATCCTTTTTCCAAGTACCAACTCCTGGTGGGCGTTGGCTGGGGTTGTGCTGGTCGACACACTCGGCTCTCTCCTGCAGTTGCGCGTGCTGTACAAGTGCACAGTCAAAGACATTCAGGTGGGTGGTTGTCAAAGTTATGGTCCCTTTTTGGGTCCTTATTATAATACGGCACCTATTATAAAGGGTCCCCCAAAAGAGACCATCATTTTGACAACTACCCAGGAGGCGAAGGGCGTCAGCGCCGAAACGAAACGAGCACTGTGGACGCAGTGCGAGATCGATGTGGCTCGCTTTTGGCCCGTAGTGGTGGCACTGCCACCACTCGTTTGGCTCATGGACGAGCGGAATCCGAACCGACAGTACTACTACCTCTTTGAATGCACCACTTCGGACCACATGAATATCACAGTTGTCTGCATCCTTGTGAAATTAGGTTGGACGTGTGTTCTGACGGGTCTGGACGTTTACATGTGCACTCAATGGGGGATTGGTCCCCACCGAGCCCAGCAGATGCTCAAGATGTACAACAAGCACTGGGTAATGATGGCTTGCACTTTTGCCTTTGCCGGTGCCATTTTCACAAGCTGCTGGCCTGTGAAGCACGACGGACTGCGACTTCTTGAAATTCTCAGCGAATGTTGAGACCTTGTTTTTAAGGCCCCAGTGGCCCGCGGTCGTATTTTAATTTGAAATAATTTGCATGGCAGAATCCTGAACTGCGCTGGCAGTCGGAGAAGTCTCAGCTCTCACCGAAACGGGGAAGCTATGCCCCAGGATGCGAGAGAGCTCCGTGAAGAGCTTGCGCAGGTTTTTGCTCGCAGCTGTTTCTGGCGGCTGTGTGTCAACCCTACACCCTAAACCCCAAACCGAAACCCGAAACCCTAAACCCTAAACCCTAAACCCTAAACCCTAAACCCCAAACCCTAAACCCTAAACCCCAAACCGTCTCCAAAAGAGAGTCGGACTGGAAACCTTGGACCTGCTGGAAGGAAGACGCTCTTCACGTTCATCGGTGCCTTGCTGCCCATTGCCTCCTCGCCTGCGCTGCAGATGGGCTGCCTAGGCGAGTTAAACTCTAAACCCTAAACCCTAAACCCTAAACCCTAAACCCTAAACCCTAAACCCTAAACCCTAAACCCTAAGCATGTGTAACAGACTATCATCTTTTGGGCTTTTGTCATGCTCGAGGGGGGTTTCTTTTTAGGGGACCACGCCCTAAACTCGAATTAAAACCTTAAAGCCTGCCTTAACCCCAAATAACCTACCTTTCATATAAAGAAATCATAATAAGGAGCCCCTAAAAAGGTAGGTTCTTTGGGGTCCAGGTAAACCTTAAACCAACAGGGATTTTAGTTTAGAGAGCAGCTGGAAAGCTTGCGGGTGGGTTTCAGGTTTCGGGTTTAAGGTTTAGGGTTGGGTGTTCATCATTCAGGGTTTCGGGTAATATGGCCTGAATAATTACTTATAGGGTTTCCTTATTATACTTATGGTATAATGGGCCCCAAAACCCTCTTCTAATTATTAACGCCCCTACATTAGTTTAGTGTTCAGGGTTTGGGGTGCGCGGGTGAGAGCAAGGACCCTGATGTAGAAGTCACGGAAGCTGCCGGCGTCGGCGGGTGCAGTCGCATCATCAAGAATACTTACCCTAAGCCCCTAAACCCTCGACTTCCTTAAACCCCTAAACCCGAAACCCCTAAACCTCTAAATCCCTAAACCTTAAACGCCTAAACCTCTACACCCTAGACCCCGAAACCCGAAGCCCTAAACCCTAGACTCCTGCAAAATACTGACTGGTCCCGGACGACTTTGCCAGGCATTGTGGTTTTGGTGTCGCTGTTCCTCTACTGCCGCTACAAGCCTTACCACTCGCCGGAGTGGAACTGGAGCGCTGCGTTTCAGGGTAGCATAGGTTTGGGTTTAGGGTTCTACTCATTAAAGCTTCTACAGTTGGTGCTTGATGTTTGGTTACATTCATAGCAATCTGGGCTGCGGTGAAGGCTTATATTCAGGATCCTACACTCAAGGTTTTATCTTCAAAATCCTAAGCCCTGACGCTTGGTGTGACAGTGTGAGCATAACATGCCCCTAGGATTCCCAGATTATGCCAATAAAGCCTCATGCCCTAAACCCTAAACCCTAAACCCATAAAGCCTCATAGAGCCAAGTTATGGGTTCAGGGCCCTAAACCTCTAAACCCTAAACCCTAGACCTCTAAACCCTAAACCCTAAACCCTAAACCCGAACCCTTGCCAGAAGCCCTGCTTTCCCCCCGAAACTAAGCTCGCTGCTTTCGGCTCCCAGACGGAGACTTCGGGGACTTCCCGGTTCACTGGGGAGGTTGGGGCTTGAGGCGGCTTAGGGTTTAGGGTTTAGGATTTAGGGTTGAGGGTTCGGGTTTAGGGTTAAGGGTTTAGGGGTTTTAGGGTTTAGGGTTTTGGGTTTAGGATTTAGGATTTAGGGTTCAGGGTTTTGGGTTTAGGGTTCAGGGCTTGAGGTTGAGAGTTGAGGATCTCTTTGTTGGTTTCGTGCTTGGGCGTTTGGGCTGTTTTGCTTTGCTTGAATGTGTGGGGTTCAGTTCCTGTTTTGTGGGTTGAACCAGTTTTATATTTAGGATCTTTAAGATAACCTAGAAAAGGAACTAAAAACGAGACGATAGGTCCGATCTAATAGGGTAGTTCTCTAAACTAGGGTCCCCTTTTAAGGTCCCTTTTAAAAGGGTGCCGTACTATATTGGGGACCCAAAAAGGAACCCTAATTTAGAAATTTCCCCAATTAAGGAGGCTCGGGCGAGGCAAGGCTTCCCCCGCAACCTGCAGGATCGAAATCTGCTTGCTCTTCGCCGCGATGGTGATGATCACAAGTGTCTCCACTTTGTCGCGTGGCTTAGGGTTTATTAAGGGACAATAGCAGGGACCCCTAGGAGGGACCCCTAATCCAAATATACCCTATATATAACCCGTATATACCCATTATGTAGTCTCATAAAACCTCTATGCAACCCCAAGGGTCCCTTTAAGGGTTTGCCCTTGAAGCTTCTGGGTCGTCTAAACCCCCAAATCCTAAAATCCTAAACCCTAAACCCTAAACCCTGACCCTAAACCCCTAAACCCCTTAAGCCCTAAACCCTAAACCCTAAACCCATAAACCCCTAAAGCCATAAACCCCTAAACCCTAAACCCTAAACCCCTCGACCCCTAAACCCTCGACCCCGAGCCGAGAGTTCGGGGTTTGGAGTGCGTTGCCGCCCTAAACCCTAAGCCCTAAGCCCTAAGCCCTAAGCCCTAAACCCTAAACCCTAAACCCTAAACCCTAAACCTTAAGCCCTAAACCTTAAACCCTAACCCTAAGCCCGAAACCCTAAGCCCTAAACCCTAGGCCCTAAACCCTAAACCCCAAACCCTAAACCCTAAACCCTAAACCCTAAGTAGGCACGGTGAGTTCTAAGACCCAGCGCCAGTCGTGAGCTCTTCTCAGACCAGAAACTTTAGGGTTTAGGGTTTAGGGTTGAAACCTTAAACTCTAAACCCATTCTAGGTTCCCTAGTAGTACCCTCTTTTTGTTTTTGGGATCCCTTTCTAAACCCAAAGTGTTGCAAAAAGGGTGCCCTTATTGTTAGGGGTCTACTGGGGAACCTAGCATTAATTTGGGGGCCTTGATAAATTGGTTGTGGTCCTGGGTTTATCTTATAGCATAATGATATAATGGAATAGTATCATTACGTATTCAGGTTCGGCATGCATCCCCGACCAAGCAGCAGCAGCACGGTCATTGCATCCAAGACCTAAACCCTAAACCCCTAAACCCTAAACCCTAAACCCTAAACCCTAAAGCTCTAAAGCCCTACAGGGTTCAGCCGAGGCTTGCAAATGAGTTCCACTGGGGGCACTCCGTACCCACTCAGCAGTCGATCATCTTCGCAACTGCAGGCATTGCGGCGGTGGCTAGCCGCTTGGTGAAGCGATGGCGAAGGTTGATGCTCACCCTTTCATTAGGGTTTAGGGCTTAAGGCCTAAACCCTACACCCTAAGCCCAAAACCCTGAAATCCCCACACTAACGGAGAACTCCAAACTGCCAGGGCCGGGATGCTCGAACGGCCAAAATGATGGATAGTGTTTTGGGTTTAGGGTTTAGGGTTTATGGTTTAGGGTTCAGGGTCTATGGGTTTCTGCGTCTCGCCAACGCTGCCCAAACCAAAGCATCGGCCCGGTCGCGCGGCCCTCAGGAAGGCAACTCATGCGTCTTCCGCATTCCTGCAAGGGCGCACGTTTTCTCAGGATCGTGCTTAAAGCTCGCGAGTCCGAGAACGTCCGAAGCCATAGCGGTGTTGTTGTCTTCACTGAATCTTTTGTCGCTGAGCGCTGCCAGCGTGAGCAAAGGTGACGCTGATGCTGCTTATCTTCCTGTCCTGTGCATTTGCACGAAAAGTATGTTTTTTCTTGATCCAATCGATACAGAAACGTTCGGTTACGGAAGAACCCCGAAGGAATCCGCCTTGACCAAAGAGACGAGGCTGGGTCATGATTTGAGCAGTCACCCTGGCGGCACTGGCGTGCTCGCATCACATTTGCCGGGTGGCGGCAAGGTCGGCGATGATCATCCATAAGGAGTCAAAGGTATGAAATTTTCCTTCCGCTCGCCCTTCCTTCGCTCATGCGCACGGCTGTGTGCCTCAGGCATTTGACTTGAAGCTCATCTTCGCGCTGTGGCGCTCCGCCACTGACTTCGATACGGCCTCCGCCAGTCGTCCAATGCTTGCCCTTCATCCCGCCCTTTGGGGATCTTCTTGGTTTAACGCAAAGTTTGGGAGAAGCCCAACGCCCAACACTGTCTTGGCCGTCCAAACAGCGCAGGTGGAGGACTGGACCGGCCCTGTTGAGCTGCTCTCACAGGAGGTCGCTCTCACCCTGCCTGTGACCGTCGATGCAGTTTATGGGAAGGAGGACGACAGCGCTGCGGCCCGCGCTCGTCTGGAGCGACCCCGCCTCCTGCACTCGCTTTTCTTGCTCGTCCACTCACCCGTCTCCCCGCTTCGCTGCGCTCATGCGCCAGTCCCGCCAGGATTGGCTCACTGAATGTACTCTCTTCCAAACCCCGCTTGCAGATGTGCCGGAGAATTGGTCTCATACAGCCTTGGAAGAACCGTGGTTGACCACCTGCGACCCTCGCTCTGTGTATCTTCTCCAACTAAAGCCTCCTCCCTGCGGCTCTGAGGAAAGTGCCTTGTATGGTGATGGTGGGTTTGCCCCTTCCCACGGCGCCACTTACTACCGCCAGCTTTGAGATTCGGGTCTGGCTCGAACTTCTGGCAGTCGGCATCTTGGGCTTCGGCCACAGTCTCAGGACGTCTTCCTAAGCACTTCGGATGGGAGGCCTGTACAGTGCATACCGCAGAGCTGTTTTTTCTGGTGTGTTCCCTGAAGTTCAGTCGGCCAGGTCACTGGCACCTCCTGGTGTTGACCGCCGTCTTCGCCACGTGTGACGTGAACTGGAGCGGTGTTGGTGCCCTGATGCCCCTAAACCTGCCGGGAGGCTGCGTCAAGAACACTTTCCATCCCTCTGGCACATATCCCTCCCTCTCCATGGCAAACGTCAGTCTTTTGCGAAGATCGCTTACTCCCACCTCGGGGTGGTGGGGGTGGACATACGCAGCCACCAAGCCGAAACCTGCCTCCCCTTCCCTGCCTTAGTCTCGGGTAGCGAAGTGCAAGATGCTGGTTGTGCAGCTGAAACCTTCCCCGGCCCCCTCATTGTGCTCTTCTACAGGGGGGTTCCTTTGCGTGGCTCGCTAGGGACATGCGCATGATCAATGGCCCAACTCGTGCGCACGTACGGGCCTGGCTCCGAACCCAAAGCACGACCGCTTGGGCCAAGCGTGGTTCAAGGCCTACTCCCCCTGGTCGGCCCTGGCTTATCGGCGCGTTCTGCCGCGTCAGTTGGGTCGTGCCATACGCCGGCTGTGCGTGGGGGAGCTTGAGGCCTTCGAAACTCAGGATGCTGAGAGTTTTGCTGCCCTGCACCACAAAGCTGCACTGCGCAATGAGCTAGACCACGTCGGCCGCAGTAGCAAACCGTTCCAGCCAGCACTTCTTGTTTACCAACGCTTCGCACTGGGGCTAGCCTTCATTTGAGCAGCCTACCTGCAACGTGTGGAGGCCCTTGCCAAACTCGCCGCTGGACTTTCTTCTCCAGGAGTTACACTGGGCCTTGGCCCCCCCCGTCCGCAGCCCTGCATCGAGCTAGCGAGAACACCCTCTTAAACGTGCTGCACCAAACAAGGGTGCCCACTGCTCGCTCGTCGCTCCCGTGCTGCTTCTGGCCCCACCTGAGACCAACTCACTGGTGCCCTGGCCTCGATTGGTTTTCGAATGCGCTCGGCCCTCCTCACGCTGGTACCGTTTGCCGCGCTCGCGGCACTCCCTGTGCAATACCCTCTCTCTGCTGAGGACTCTTTCCTGTTGATACACCTTCGCTCCTGAGCTTCCTGCCTTCCCCCACACCGGCTCTAGCCCCCCCTTCCCTCCCCTCCCCCTCCTCCCCTCTTCCCACTCCTGCATCTTGGCCTAGCGCCCCCTCTCGAACCCTCCACGAAAGGCGGCCATGACGAGTTCGGAGCTGCCCTGCGATGTGGGGGAGGGTTTATGGTTTAGCGTTTACGGTTTAGGGTTTAGAGTTTGGCATTGTAACTCGAATGCGAACGCGGGCCTTGGCATTGGTATTGTCATCGCTAATTACTGCTGCTGTAACTCTGATCGGTGCTAAGTGTTATGTCGATGACTATGATTAAAGATGATGGTTGGCTGGTGAGAATGAAGATGACTATGATGGAGATGAGAAAGATTACAATGAGAGGAACAAGAACCAACATCAGCATCAACCCAAACACCACCAGAGTCCCAAGCCCATGCCAGTAACCAAGCAACAACCGCAGCAACAGCAACAACAACAACAACAACAGCAGCAGCAGCAGCAGCAGGAGCAGCAGCACCGCCGCCACCACCGCCGCCGTCGGCAGCACCAGTACCAGCACTGGCACCGACATCGGCACCGGCACGCGCACCAGCACCACCAGCACCAAGAGCAAGAGCAAGAGCAAGGGCCAGAGCAGAAGCGCCAAAATGCAAGGTTCAGGGTGTGTGGTTTCAGGGTTTAGGGATGAGGCTTCGTGTTTACGGCCCCAGGTACCATCATGGCTTTCCGAGTGATCCAAGAGCTGGTCATGGAACAGAGGCAGGAAGAAGGGAGGGTTCAGGGGTTTGGGGGTTTTGGGTTTAGGGGTTTCGGGTTGAGGGGTTTTGGGTTTAGGGCACCTCAACTTGGAAGGAACGGGGCTGTTCTGGCAATCCGCTACTGCACGTTTTTTGGCTTGAATTTGTGAGTTTGGAGTTCGAGTGTTTGAGTGTTTGCGAGGGTCGGGCATTTGAGGATCAGGCATCGCAATTTGTGTGTTTCTCTGTTTTTGGAGATACTGAACTCCAAATAGCTACGGATGCCGAATTGGAAATGCCTCTTGCGGCACGCTGAACCTTGGCCCTAATGTACGGGCCGTAGTAATTACCTATACTATGTTGGGGGTTCCTTACTATGATTATAGTATAATCGGCCCAAAGCCATATTCTAATTATTGAGGCCCCTAACCCTACATCCCTAAACCCTAAACCCTATACCTCAAAACCCTAAACCCTAAACCCGATTCCAATTATCAAGGCCCCTATATTAGCTGGTCCTAAGCCTTAATCTCGGATGCTTCAGCAGATGGAATTAGGCAAGCACAGCCGTAAGGGTTTTAGGCAAACACAGCCGTAAGGGTTTCTACGGTTTAGGGCTTATTGTTTAGGGCCTTCCTTTAAGGGCTTCTAGGGTTTATCCTTCGTACGGGTAGTTCTCTAAGTTAGGTTCCCTGGTAGGGTCCTTTCTATTAGGTTGCCGTGCCATTTTGTGGGACCGAAAAGCGGACCCTAATTTAGAAAACTACCCATATCAGGATCCATAAACAAAGAAGATCGAGTTTGGCGATGGGGATGGGGGTTGTCTTGGAGGTCCATGCATGACAATAAGGACCTTACTATTTGCGGTGTCAACATTAGGGGTACTGTTTTTTGAAGTTCGGGCTTAAGCGCATTCTTCTTGGTTGGCATTTCTCTGATTTTGAAGTTGCGAGCACACGAATGCACACGGGATTCATTTCTGCCGTGAGCCCCTGGCCCCCCCTAAACCCTAAACCCTTCACCCTAAGCCCTAAACCCTAAACCCTAAACCCTAAACCCTAAACCCTAAACCCGAAACCAAAACGCTGTTCTAACTGTTACGGTCCCTATGTCACCAAGTCCTGGGTCGAGCCCTGATAGAACCCCTCAAAAGAACCTATTTCAGGAACCCTCTTCAAAGTCTTACAGTCCTTAAACCCTACACCCGAAACCCTAGGCCCTAAACCCTAAACCCTAAACCCTAAACCCTAAACCCTAAGCCCTAAGCTCTAAGCCCTACGCCCTAAGGCCCTAAGCCCTGACCTAAGCCCTGAGGCCCTAAGACCTAAACCTTGGCCCTCTCGCCGAGGGGTCGGTTTAGGGTTTAGGGTTTAGGGTTTAGGGTTTAGGGGTCGCAGGCAAGCAGCCAAGTGAGCTTGGAGGACTACAGCCTCGAACTTTGCCACGGCGGCGACATAAAAACCCGGGTTTAACCCTAAGCCCTGAATCCTAAACCCTAAATCCTAAACCCTAAATCCTAAACCCTAAATCCTAACCCTAAATCCTAAACCCTAGACCCTAAACCCTAAACCCTAAACCCTAAACTCTAAACCCTAAACCGTAGATTGCTGAGGGTTTAGGGTGGTTTGGGGTTTAGGGTTTGTGAGGGTTGCATAGTGTCAAGCGGTTGTATAGGTTCTGTAGGGGTTGTACCGTGTAAAGAAATTTACAACAGGCGCCGTAGCTACTGGAACAGGAG